GTCGGGGTGCGTGCGGGGGGGGGGCACCTGTTTGTGCATGTGTGTGTGGCATACATGTGTGTGGAGGAGATTTGTCTCCACGGCCCTGTCCTGCCAAGGCGACCAGGGGTTGGGGACCCCGGGTCTAGTGGGCTCATTCACTCTTTCTGTTCCTTATGCATTGGTACACATGGAAATGCATGCATACTTTCATAGAAAGGGATGGCAGAGGGTGGACTGGGGGGGGCGGGGTCTGTGCGTGGGCAGGGCACCTGTTTGTGCATGTGTGTGGGGGGGGGAGATTTGTCTCCGCGGCCCTGTCCTGCCAAAGCGACCAGGGGTTGGGGACCTCAGGTCTAGTGGGCTCATTCACTCTCTCTGTTCCTTATGCATTGGTGCACATGGAAATACACGCATACTTTCATAGAAAGGGATGGCAGAGGCAAGCAGCAGCGGCACTATCAAGGAGAGAAACTAGCTACCCTCAAAATGGGGGGGTCTGTCTCTCGGAGGAAGGAGAACATTTGTGAGAGCAGTTTGGCTTGGGAGAACAGGGCCAGGTATCCTGTTTTGGGGCAGGCAGCCTTCACTGTCCAGGGTTAACACCAGTAAGGCTCCACACCATTAAAGAGACCAGCTAGGCAAGCAAGATCCAAAAGCAAAGTCAGGGAACAAGCCAAGACAAGAGTCCTACCAGCAAGTGAGAAAAAAACCAGATGGTTAGAATTGAAAACCAGCCTCAAGTAACACCGAGGGTCTAGCCATTTGAGTTCAGAACCACTGCCTGGCAGGAATCTTCCAAGAGACGAAGCCAAAACAGTATTTAAGGTCATGTGCTATCTCATCAGGTTGCAAACAGTATGAGAATATGAAAACAATGCCCACCTGACAAAGTCCAGCTAAATAACATTGGTCTCAGCGATTTGATTTCATTTCTTTTTGGCTGAGTTGCTTAGCGCCATTCAGAACTTAAGTACATCATTAAGAGACCATTTAGTTGATGGCATATCTGACCCCTGGGAGTCCCCTGTTCCTGAGGAGACCTATCCCAGAACAAAGCACTCCTCCCGGTATCTTGATTTGGCTCCTGGAGACTGCGCAGGGGTGGTGGTGGTAGTGATTCCAACCCCTTAGTCTGATTCTGGTGATCGGCTGCTTCTGTCTGGGGAGCAGCCCTGTGTACCTGTGACGGTCCTGGGTGTGCAGGAACAGTCATCCTGTTGCCTTTCTCATGCCCATGGCCCTTGAACCTGCTCTTCCTGGAGGAGTCCTCCAGCTGGGTCGTGGATGGCATTGGGAGAGATCACCGGATGCAGCCTGAGAACCACATTGAAGTCAAGGGGATCACGAAGCAAGGAAGCTTCTCTGTGGCTTCTGAGCAAGAAGCTTTTGGCAATTTATTGTGACTTAGGCCACAACCTACCAGTAGACCACATATGGTATTCTCTTTGTAAAGCACACCACTTCTTTAAAACTGAATACAGCTAAAATAAGCATATATTATCAAGTCGTGTCGCATCAAATAACCAGCAAGTTAGTTTTGACTTATGCATGACTGTTTTCTTTTTGTCTCCCTTAGCAAACCAGGTCCTCTAAAGCCACCTTATATAAGGTAATAAGATCTCTTTTTCTGTTTAGTTTCTTCTTCTTCTTTTCTTTCCCAACAAAGCCTGTTTTTTAACCCATGGACTCTTTTATTGATGGATTTATCTTTGTTGCAGGCTTAGTTGAGTTACAATGATACGCGTTATTATATTTTTGAAGTATTGCAGGTGATGTCCCTCCTGCAAGCTGTGTGTTCAGCCAAGTCATGAACATGGCAGCATTTCTAGGTAGGCGTTTGCATGGAGAACGTTTGACGTCTTGTTGTCGTTTTTAAATTCACATTTTTAAAAAATCACCAGATTCAGACCAGTCAATTTATTTATTTAACTTATATGCCGCCCACACTACCCAGTTTGATGTTGTTTGCATCACATTCCAGGGCTTCACCTAGCAGTGGCTACTATGGCATAGGTCTCATTAAGGTGGTAAACCGGTGTTTAGGCTGTAGAACTTGAGCTGCATGTGAGAACTCCCATGGACTGCCTTCTCCTCCTCTGCTCTTGTAAAATTAGCCTATGGAAGAGAACACGAGTTTTGTTCCTGTTTGTATGACACCCTAGTTTGTGAAGCGCTTTGTTTTGTTAACGTTGCATTTCGTTGTGTTTTCTTTGGCATGGAGGAGCTTGGCCTGCCCATTTGTCGTCTAAAGTTATTCGGAATCCGAATGAGCGACTGGGTCTCAGGATGCAAAAACGTGTAAATAATCTTTATTCGTTCCAATTTAAAAATGCTCCGTGGGCTTCAGCTCGCATCCTTCGTCAGGAGCAAGGTCTTAGAGCTTTACTTCGTTAGCTCTGAAAGAGCTGGTACAATGAGCTCATAAACCAGCAAATCTTAAAAGCAAAATAAGACAGAGTTCTGACTCTTGCACAGACAAGAGTTCCGACTCCTGTCCTCTGAAGATGCCGGCCACAGAGACTGGTGAAACGTTAGGAAGAACAACCTTCAGAACATGGCCAAACAGCCCGAAAAACCTACAACAACCAGCATAAAGATTATTTACAGTTTTTTTAAACCTTCTGTGACCCAGTCTCTCATTCTGATGTCTGATACTATTGGATGTACCAGTTCCTGGTGTTTCTGATCTGCTCATCACAGACTCATGTTTTTAGGCCTGCAGTCAGTGACTGGCATCCTTAGGCATGGATGGTCCATTGCTCTAGACCTGGACCGGCCGGCTCTGTAGGTTCAGGCTTGACCTGTAGCAATGGGCAGTTGTCAGCTGACCACTTACAACTTCCCGCCATGCCTTGGAGCACCACACAAAGGTCTTATGGGGAGCAGAGATTTTCGCACCTCTGCTGCTCAGCACAGCCAGTAAACGTGCTGATGGGCATAGTGATGTTGGGGAGGAAATAATAATGGTGAGGGAGAACCAAATAACACGTAAGAGTCTCCTCAAGTGAGAAAGTAACCCTGATGGATTTACTACCTCAGTGAGAACTAGGCCAGTAAAACAGCTAATGCAGAAATGATTAAAATACTAGATATTAAAATATTCTAGCCTTATATAGTTTGAAAAATTCATTTGCAGTTTTAAGATTTCATTTGAGCTGTTGTTTTTGATTTGCATGACACTTGCTTGTTCCTCCTGCTTTAAACTTCTGCATGTGTGTGAAAACTGCACAAACGTGGCTGTATTGTTATGTGTCTTCAAATTATTTTTGACTTACAGCAACGCTAACAAGGGTTTCAAATTGAGGGAGTGAACACTGCCCCCCCATCAAGTTTCTACCCAACACCCTTTCCACTGCACCAGTGGTCCCCAATCTTGGGTTGCTAGATATTTTTGGACTAAAACTCCCAGAAGCTTTCACAAAAGCCTGTGATGGCTTATTTGAAGCTCTGTGATCCATAATTGTGCATAAGAATTCTAACTCAGGATGTCTTAACAAGATTGCCTTCCTCGATATGGAGCCTCCCAGAGGTATTCTATTACAACTCCTTTCATCTTCAGCCAGCACAGCTGATGATTTTGCGGGCTGAGGGTGTTGGGAATTGTAAAGCGACACATCTGGATTGTGCTGGCTTGGGGAAGGCTTCGTGAAGGCAGAATTGTCAATGTGATCTCTCTGTCTGCCATTGGGCTGCACAAAACTGTGGAATTCTTTCTGGCCATTACAGTGGTAATACTGACATGCAATACAGTATTAACTAGCCCAAGAAATCTCTTGATCAGAGACTTGCCATAGTAGTACAGAGAAGGAGGAGGTCCTGCTGTCACATCGGACCATGATCTGTTATCCTTTGCAAGAATTCTCACAGACACTAGATATTATGTTAAAAACATGATTTACTTAATATCTATGTATGTATGTATATTTATGCCCTGCTTTTCTCCTGTTGATCGGAACGTGGTGGCACTGCGGGTTAAACCGCAGAAGCCTCTGTGCTGCAAGGTCGGAAGACCTGCAGTCGTAAGATCGAGTCCACGCAATGCTCCTGTCGCTTGTCCCAGCTCCTGCCAACCTAGCAGTTCGAAAGCATGCAAATGCAAGTAGATACTATGTATGTGTGTATATTTATGCCCTGCTTTTCTCCTGTTGATCGGAACGTGGTGGCCCTGCGGGTTAAACCGAAGAAGCCTCTGTGCTGCAAGGTCGGAAGACCTGCAGTCGTAAGATCGAGTCCACGCAATGCTCCTGTCGCTTGTCCCAGCTCCTGCCAACCTAGCAGTTCGAAAGCATGCAAATGCAAGTAGATAAATAGGTACCACCATGGTGGGAAGGTCACAGCGTTCTGTGTCTAGTCGTGCTGGCCACGTGACCATGGAAACTGTCTTCGGACAAACGCTGGCTCTACGGCTTGGAGACGGGGATGAGCACCACTGGACTAAATGTCAAGGGGAACTTTTACCTTTCTCCTGTTGGTTTGATCCAGAGGTCATCAACTTGTGGCCCTTCAGAAGTTGCTGGACTGTGGCTCTCTCACAACTGGCTATTCCGGCAAAGGCTGATAGAGGGGGTTGCAGTCGAGCCACATCTGGAGGGCTTCCTGATTCCCAGACTGAGCAAGAAAGATCCATGTTATGTCATAACAGGAATGCCTCAATTCCAAGATAAATACATACCCTTCGAGTTCCATTGATGTTTCCTTGACAGTAATGGTGGCTTTTGCAAAGATGTCTTGTGGGCCCTTGTTTGGATTTACGGAGGCATAAATGTTTTGTGTTAGAGTTGCACATGTGTGTTACCTTCCCTTTCCTCATTTCAGCGCTTGTCATAGCTGTCCTCCGCTTTATTCAGCTCAAACCAAAGGTCCTGAACCCCTGGCTCAATGTCAGCGGCCTGGTGGCGTTATGCTTGGCCTCCTTTGGGATGACTTTGCTGGGCAACTTTCAGGTAACTTTTCTTTTGCCTCCTCTTTCCCCAGTGAGTTGGGGTCTGCATGCGTGTGAGTAGGCTTATTTGGAGTCAGGCCACTGAGCAGTGTCTGAGAGGTGGCGAACCTCTTCCAGCCAAGGAGCTGAATTTTAAATTGAGTAGGGTTTTTTGGGGGGGGGAGGGGGAATCCCACAGCACTGGGTGTGGCAAATGGGGCCAAAGCAAAGTGAGCTGGGTGAGGGATCATTCGAAACTCAGTTCAGGATTTTGCCTGTTTGTTCAGCAGGGCAATAGCTTCTCAAGCTGCAGAGCAAATCTCAGTCCCACGCAACTGCTTCTCGGTTTAAAAATGCGGGTAGTTCCATGGGACAACTTTCTAATCTGGAAATCACAGCTGATTTCCGTGCAATTTTTAAATGCCCCTTTACCATTGATTCCCCACAGTTTAAAGAGCTTGCAGACTGGATGGGGAATCCCGACCAGCTGCATCTGATCCGTGGTCGGGAAGTTCCCTCCTTTCTTTGGTCTCCTGCAACTGGCTGTGGCTGGCTGAGATCTCAGGCAGAGGTGTCTTTCAGCATATGTTGTATGATGATTACAAATTGCTCTTAGAATTCCTTCGCTTTTCAAAGGCTGTCTGCCTTGGAGCTTGGTGAGAGAAGGACAGGATCCACTGGGCACTCAGATAGCTAGCTGCACAGTTCTCTGGACTATATCCAGAGTACCTGCACGTCATGAAATAAATGTGGTATAAGCAGTTCCTGTACAAGCCAAAGTATGACTGTCCTGGTGCCATAAAAAGCCCCGCCCTGTTGTTGAAAATCAGAGTTCTGCAGCTCTAGGCAGCTGAGATTTTTTAAAATTATTACGTATTTTGGCAGATGTAGGAAAGCTACATCCCCATAACTAAGAAGATGAGGCTCTGAGGCAGAACCTATAAACTTTCAAGAGAACAGTACATCTGTGTTGAGACATGCAGGACTTGGATAAGAATATATCTAGCTATTGTGTTAAGGTATTAGCTGAAATCCTGTTGTGCAGTTCTGTCTGTGCAATGGGAATGATTTCAGCAGCAGCTAATCACCACTGATTAAAGGTTTCCAGATTATTGGCAATTCTGGGGTGCATACAACTTTGTCACATTGTGTATAAGTTGCACGCACCCTGGAATTACCAAAGGAAGCCTTTAATCAGCAGTAATTTGCCATTGCTGCCGATAGTTACTCCCATTGTGCGGGTGCAGCTGCACGACAAGATTTTGGCCACCGAATTTTACGTAGATGTTCTTTTTAGTAGATTCACATAGGGTTGGCATCTGGAAGCACAACTCATAACAGAATCATTAGGAGGTTTAGGGCAAGTATGTCTGTGTTTTCCCATTTGTTTCATTAGAAATACAGTGGTGCCTCATAAGACAGACACTCTGTTTAACGACGAATCCGCATTACAATGAGTCGCATTACAAGGTTTTTGCAATCGCAAAACGACATTTTGAATGGGGGAATTTCACTGCGTGATGATCGGTTCCCTGTTTCGGGAACCGATTTTCATTTCCCGACGATCAAACAGCTGATTGTCATGTTTTCAAAATGGCCGCCAGGTGCTCAAAATGGCTCCCCGCTGTGTTTAGGAGCCATTTTTCACTGCACAGGCACCCGAAAATGGCCGCCCCTAGGGAGGATCTTAGCTGGACAGTGAGTTCTTAGCCAATTGGAACGCATTAACCAGGTTTTAATGCGTTTCAATGGCTTTTTTATTTTCGCTTTACGACGTTTTCGCTCTACAGCGATTTCGCTGGAACAAATTAACGTCATAATGCGAGGCACCACTGTAATCTGTACTTTTTTCTTTGCAGCTTACCAACGATGAAGAGATACATAATGTTGGCACATCCTTGACGTTTGGGTTTGGCACTCTGGCCTGCTGGATTCAGTCAGCATTAACGCTCAAAATAAACTTGAAGAATGAAGGAAGAAAAGCCGGGATCCCACGAGTTGTCTTGTCAGCAGCAATCACCCTCTGCGTTGTCCTCTGTATCCTTTAATTCTTTACTCCCCCTCAATGCAAAATTCTTGTTTTAGAAGGAGAAACATTTCCAGAGTAATCTGTCATTGAAGCAAGAGTTTGGATGCCATGAATCAAAACCTTAAAACATCTCCCAGGCTAAAAAAATGAATTTAAATCTCTTTCTGCAACTAAAAACTAATCTGTAACTAAGACCTTTCAGTTTAATGTTGACATTTTTCTGTTTATGCCATTACATTCTTCATTTTCCATACAGCCCTTTGCGTCACTCAGAAGTAAGTTTCATTTGGGCTTACTTGTAGGTACATTTGTCTAATATTACAACTTAGGCTCCAATCTTATATCCATTTAAATGGGAGTAAACACCTTTGAAATTAATGGGATTTTTTTTGACAGGTATAGGAAGGAGAATATAATTACAGGCCACAATCCTATATGGTCCTACTGTGAATTACATGAATTCAATGGGGCTAACTTCTAATTAGATATTTCTCAGAGAGCGCTACTTGAGTCTCAAATGAGTCCAAGGATCACAAGGTCTTCTGTAATGAAGCAAAATAAATCATAGAATAATGTAGTTGGAAGGGGCTTTAAAGCCAACCCCCTGCTCATTGCAGAAATCCAAATCAAAGTATATCCAACAGATGATGGTCTTATATTCTCTTGAATGCCTGCAGCATTCACCACCTCCTGAGGCAATTGGTTCAATTGCCGTACTGCTCTAAGAGTTATGAAATTTTCCAGATATTCAGCCTAAATCTAGCTTCCTGTAGCTTGAGCCCCTTATTACGTGTCCTGAACTCTGGGATGCTGGAGAACAGATTCTGCCCTCTCCCTCTGTAGGACTTCCTTTCAAATAAATTAACCGTTTGAAGCTGATTAAACCTTTACAGGCTTCTCCAACTTGTAAAACTCCTAATTTTTTAAGTTGTCATATTAGTAGTATCTAAACAAAGTTGTGTTTTTAGTTCCCACTATTTCAACAATCTTTCAGGACAAACAAGTGAACTTTAAAAATATTTATATAGCTGTTAGATTTTTATTTCAATGCCCTCCCTTCTCATGCATACAATTAGATTTCCTTCCAGATCATGTTCATACCTTCCTCCCCCCCTTTTTTTGCTTACATAACATGGGGAATTTGCTAGATGTATCCCTTTCATATGTTTTTCTTCCAGCTAACATTCTTCTCAAAAGACATGTACCGGATGAGATGAAATAGTTCTAATAAAGCAGAACAACAAGTTTGGTCTGGTAAAAAGAATCGTTTGAAATGTCCTTATGCAAGCGTTGTAGAATCATGATAAACCTTTGCTGGATTGCTAAGCTGAGGTAGTTAATTACAGTTTGCAGCCATATAATGTACACACGTTACAAGGTGTGCCTATTTTTCCTATCAAATGAAATGTACGAGAGAAGCATAACTTGAACTTGTTTCCTCCATGGTAGTTTTCAGATATTTTCTTCCCTTAGGTATTTTCTGGGTACTCAGTGTGATGGAGTGGATAGAGTAGGACTCTGGAGACCATGCTTTGAATCCTCACTTGGCCATGGAAATTGATTGGGGGTTGTGGAACTGGTAAAACCACTCTTTGAAAATCTCCCTTACCTTGAAAGCCCATTGAAGGTTGCTGTGTTGGTTCCAACTTGATGGCACATACCCTATTTTTCCATGTATAAGACTATACTTTGGTCTAAAATTTTTAGACTAAAAATTGAGGGTCGTCTTAGGGATCAAAGCGATTCTGCAAGAGAACAAAAAGAAGTGGAGGGGAAATCAGGGATCAAAGCGATTCTGCAGCGCTTTTATCCCTTTCCTCCTACACTTGCTAAGCCCCACTTAGATTTCTTAATTTTGGATTAGAAAAGTGGAGGGCTTCTTATACACGGGGGCGTCTTATACACGGAAAAATACGATAGCTATACCAGGAAACAGCCAGACTGGGAGATAACATCTGAAAGCATTACAGCACTTGGAGATATGGCAGCAGATGGAATAGTGTTATTGAATTCCCCTCCCATATGTTCTTTATGGGGTATTAGAGGCAATTTCCTCCATTCTTTCATCAAAGAGGAAAGGAGAGATTGCTTTTAATACCCCATCAAAAGCCCAAATCTTGTTGGTGGAAAATGAGCATGTAAGAGCAATCGCGTAAGGGATTTCCCCTTTCACTTGCTGTTTGTTGGGGCTGGACATGCCATCGTTTGGTGTGCTAGCAAACGTAGGGAAGCATGTGCGACAGGCTTCCAACAAAGTAGATTTGTTTATGTGATTCCCCTTACCCAGTCAGCAGGGCAATAAGATTCTGCTCCAAACCTTCTACTTTGGATCTTACCGTGACCGTTGCTTTGTTCATGTGTGTGCACCTCCCGTGCCTTTCCCTTGACGCGCTTCAGATTTCATCTTGATGGCCCAGAAGCTTCACATGCACGCCGCACGGATACAGTGGGGGATGGTCATGTGCTTCCTCTGCTACTTTGGCTCCTTCGCTGTGGAGTTCAGGCACTACCGGTTTGAGATCATCTGCTCCGAGTATCAGGAGAACTTCCTCAGCTTTTCCGAGAGCCTCTCTGAAGCATCCGAGTACCAAACGGATCAGGTTTAACCCAGCCTGTTGCATTGGCAGAAGCTTGCAGTTACATGATTGAACCAGTGCTTGGGGGGGTAGGAGAGTTTTTGGACTACAGCTTCAAGGATCTAAGACATTGTAGTCCAAAAAGAGAATTCCTCCAAGCTCTAGATTGAACCCATGACCTTGTTTACCTTTTAAAAAAAGCAAACCAACAAACCATATATCCATTTCCCACACCTGTAACCATACATAAGTTGCCCAAAGACTCATTAGGGCAAAACTAAGCATCATCTAATTACTTCCTATCCCATGTAGCATTATGGCATATGTTGCAGTGAAGAAGCTGCAGAGGGATATGAAGGAACTCTAATTCCATTACTCTTTAAAAGGGGGGAGGTGGCCCTTGAGATGTTGTTGGATTGCTACTCCTCACTGCCTTCTCCAACAGAACCAGAAGTAAAGAGATGGGAAGAGTTGCACTCTAGTAACATCCAGAAAGCCACAGGTTCCTCATTCCTGGTCTAATTTCAACCCATGGCTGGCTATGAAAAAGGAGCCTCAGGTGTATGCTGAGGTTCCTAGTCAACCTGTAATAAGTTTAAGAATAGGAAGGTATTGGCAACTCTTTCTCTGTGGACCTTTCTGCATTTCAGTTTGCTGCTTTCTCACAAGGAAAGGCTGGACTGCAGACAATAATTCTGGAAAGAACTGGGTTTCTTTCCTCCCCAGAATAGTCCAGGGAATCAGGCCATCCTTTATTGGTTACTGCCAGCTGAAATAATTGCTACCCAGTGTATCCTTCATCTTGACATCAGGAGCTGAATTGGGAGGCATGGAAGCTGCACCTTCTGGTGCCCTGCATGCTTTTTGATGATCCCTCTTCCCTGGCCTGTTATAGCAAGCACGTTTCCTGGTGCTGTTCAAAGCGCCAGGCGTGCTTGCTGTAGACCAAGGAGGAGAAGCCGTGGCTGCTTGGTGCTGCTAACTATGCTACTGATTTAGAAGCAACCACCAGGTTGCAGTTTGTTCAAGTGTATTTCCCTACTGCCCTACTTTCCCATTTTTTAAAAAGCTCTTTTAAGGCCCAGGAGCCCTGCTCATGGAAAGGAGTTGGCATCCCTTCAATCAGTCTGGTCCACCAGAGCAAGAGAGGAAAGAAGATGGCATCTCTCACTTTTCTCCCTAAACTCAGGGTTAGTGCTGCCGGCTCGCTTTGTTGTTGGTAGGACTCTTCTGCCTTTAAGAGATGCTGGCTCTGACACTTTAGTGGCATGGAAGGAAGGAACAAAGATTCGCCCATGGGAAGCCCACAAAGATTCACCCATGGACAGTTCTTTGGGTAGACACTGGCAGCTAGGTCAAATGCAGAAGTAGACAGGGTCTTTGAAGAGTTAGTTATGTGCATGATAAACTGCATCTGATGAAACCCCTTTTTCTATTCAGCTGCCAAAGGTGCAGAATCCAGATCTCTTTTTCATGGCCACATATTGGCACTCACAGCCCTATTCTATGCACCCTTGTTTCTGAACAAACACATCTAGATTAAGATTGTGCTGTCAGAAGCCTTGTCTTATTACTCATTTTTAAATATCAGCATTCCATCCAGAATGTTCAAAAGTGAAAGGTGACGATGAGTCAGACATCTTTGATGGAAAGATGGGGATTGAAAATATTAAGATATTTATAATAAATACAGCCAACACTATTTAGTTATCTTGTCGGGAGCTGGGTCCTGCTAAATTCTTCATGTTTCATGACTGGAGAAACAGGATTTTTCAAAACGGCAATATGTTTGCTTTGGGCCAAAGTCTGCTGTTTGACATGAAATATTCGGTGCTGGATTTAAAATACAAAGCAAAAACTTCAAATTTTCATGGACAGAAGTCTCAACAGACAGAAAAACAGGGTTAGCAAGAGACCACGGTGAATCCAAACCAAATGTACTTCATGCAAAGCTGTGGAAAGGAGGTAGTGGATGAAACAGGGATTGAGATACACACAAACACGCATAACTAAAATAAGTTTCTGTTCATATGTGTTTTTACTGTAAATAGTCCACTGTGAATTTTTTTTAAATTAAAGTTTATGTTGTATTATTTTATATTTTGACATTTTATTGGAAGGGAGGGGAGAAAAATCACCATTTGAGTAAGACTTTTCTCCCTGATCCCAATATGCAACTCAAGTTGAAATTCAAGCTTTTTGGTGATCTCTTGTACATTTCTTAGAAGTATTTCTTATGGCACATTTCAGTGACTAATAACTGTACACTAAAACATGATCACTAAATAAATTTCTTTTATGGACAGTATGTGTATTATTGCAGCTATCTCTGCATGTGTATATAGAAACACACAACATCTTGCAATGATGGATGACGCAGGAACGTAGGAACTGCCATTTTAATATCCTACAACACTCTACTGCAATGTTACTTTGTGCTGTTGTAGAAATTCAAATGATATGATGCTGGAGAAGAGAATTTAAGGGGTCTACCCAGGACAAATAAGCACTGATGGGTCTGGAAGGGTCCAACCTTCTGAGGATATTGGATGGCGATGTCAAACATTGGTACTGTACTTCTGGAACTACTGAGCTAGTAAGACTAGTGAACGTTGTTCCAGTCTGGATTTGTTCAAAATTTACCCAAAGGTGTCAAGGATGGGAGAGTGACATTTGTCTGTTCCCTAATCAGGGCTTCTTAAAATAGCCTTCAGTCATTTCACAAAAGGAAACTTAAAAGTAAAACCAGGAAGATGTAGCTTTCCCTCCCCAACCTGCACTGATTTTCGTGTTGTTTTTTTACTCTCAAGAGAGGAAAATAGCCTTGGGGCTGAGAAGATCAATCTAGGCAATCACCCTGAAAAGAAAGTTTGGAAATACTAGTCTTCTTCCCACTAACCCCCCAGTCTTGATGCCATTCCCTCCCCCCCCAAAAAAAGTTGGAAATGTTATTTTTGAATAGCACTCCCAGAATCTAAGAGCCAATAACTTTTCAAAGCCATAAAGGGGGCATGGATAAGAAGTGTATGCAATACTTGGCAATCTCTTTCCAGATGATGCATTTTCTCTTTGCGTTCCCTATGAATGTTCAAATGTGTAAATATAAGAGTGAACAAAAACTTAGGCAACCCATCTACACTACTCACCACTCTTTTAACCAGCAGTTTCTCCACTAAAGCGCAAAGGCTTGACGCCAAACCATTCATTGCTCTCCTGCAGCAAAAAATGCTCTTAGGGCACCGTTCACTGACCTGTTTTCTTCTGGCTTCATTGATGGGACGACGTAGAGGACGAAACAGCCAGTGGGCAGACACACTCTGTAGGGCCAGTTTTATGCAGGGTGGAGATTTGATTTAAACTAAATTGATTTAAATGATGATTTATATATGTAAAAAAATAAATACATTTAAATCATGACTTCCATCAATTTGATTTTTAAAAATTATTCTTTATCCACCCTGGTTCTAGGTGCTGTTTTTGTTTCCTAATGTATTTAAACAGTTTATGTAGTGGGAAAACATGTTTTTTGGGGGGGCAAGAATATATAATGCATAAGATAAGACTGCAATAACATAGAGATAAAATTCAACCCCGGCCTAGTAGCTTGCTTATGGAAAGTGTCCATCCCTAGGCATCTTTGGAGTCCACCACTTCTTACTTAAGGTTTGCTTGCGAGCAAAGCAGCATGTGTAGAGAGGCTCACAGGTTCCTGGCATGCTCAGGTCCTCTTAAATTGTCTAGTAGTTTGAGACACCAACATAAATCAATCCCTGTGATAATGTTTTTTGGAAGCCGAAGTGAACCATACTCTCACACAGATACACACCCGCCACAAATCCTATTTATAGTTTTTGTGTCTTGCGTCCAAGACCTTGAAAACATCTAGCACTCTCAGTTATTTCTCAAAGCAAGGCTCGGGTCAACAACAATTACTTGGAATTTCTTAAGTAAATTATATCTTGCACTTCTAATCCCCTAATCCGGAGCAGTGACCTAGACCCTGACCTCCCTGGCATCATGTCCCATGTTGCATTCATAATAGAGGATGCATTTTCAAACAAGGAAATCTGTCCAGATAACATTGCTTTACATGGCAGTAACACGTCTGTCTCTTTGCATTCGCTCCCTCTGTTGTGATGGGGGGGGGCTGTTCCCCTTTCCACAGACCAGAAGGCAACAGGGACTCTTTTCCAGGTCTGGCAGCCCCCGCCCCCCGGTTGTATTGACAGAACAAAAACACATTACCTTCCAAATTCGGGTCCGAAAGGAAGGAAAATGAAGAAAAAGATGAGGGTGGTGGTGGGAAGGAATGGTCATTGTGAGGTACACAACAGTTGTGAGAACTGGATTTAAGAGAAATAGCGCTAGTACGGGTGAGTGGATAGAATGAGGGCAGAACAGCCTCATTTTATCGACTATTAAGAGCTCACTGGGGTGGAGTAACGGTAAACCACTCCTTAAACATCCCACATAATCTAAAACCCTATTTGTTATTTACACAACCCTGAGACACAGTACAACCACTGCTTCAATAGCTGCAGGGAAAAGACTACATTTGCTCAGCTGAGGAGGGAAAAAAGCAGTTTTCCACACGTCAGCCTCAAATCCCACAGGTCTCCCACAACACAGCAGGCCCTCAACTGCCCCAACCCTGTGCAGAAACATTATAGCCAGAAAAGGCCTGTAGTATGTTTACCACTTTGGCCTGGAATTCAACCAACCCTGGACAACTCTTCCTTTCTTCTCTTCTTAAAAGCAAGAGACCAGCGGGTTTTGTTGGTACTGGCAAGCTTATCAAATGAACGGCCTGATAAACAGAATCATCTGGCTAACTGTAACTAAGAAAAATAAGGAAGAATGTGGGGGAAATCTAAAGATTTTGTTTTCTTAGTTTATTTTCAGGAGAGAATAAAGGTTTAGGAATGTTTATTTGAAGTAAACATGCAGGAGCAGAGTTGACCAGGAGGCTTCCGGCACGAAGGTTTTTCCAGAGATGAATGAGTCGTGCATAAGAGGACAACAGTCCTTTTGTGCATTTTCCATTCAAAGGGCTTGTGCGAGAGAACCTCCTGGCAAACTGTACTTTCTCGACCTTCCATGTGCAACTCCAAAATAAGCGAGCCACCAACTATACACAGTTTCATAGCTGGTCCATCTGAAATGCAACATCACGTCTCAGGTCAGTGATCTGGGTCTCGGCGGCCTCTCGTCGTGAGATCATGGATCAATATTTTCTCTTTCCAAATTCTTCACACCAGCAAAAAAATACCATAAATTACAGGGAGAATTTCTTTCTTTCTTTCTTTCTCTCTTTCGTGAATTGGCTGCTTAAGTGGACGAGGGCAGGAACAGTTCATTGAAAGAGGTTACGAGTCTGTAATACGACTTCTCGTCATCTGTCAGTCCTGCATTCCCTGGCCGGATTACTACAGCAACGTGCATGTCAGCCTCTTCAGCAGCATCTGCTTCTGCAGGGGAAAAAAAAAGTTTAATCTATTTATCCTGCTGAACCAAAACACTGCCAAAATCTTACTCCATAGCCGCCCTCTGTTTCATCCATAGGCTGCTGATGGGGGCCAGCAATGCTTTAGATCAGTGCCCCCCAACCTTGGGCCTCCAGATGTTCTTGGACTTCAACTCCCAGAAATCCTGGCCAGCAGAGGTGGTGGTGAAGGCTTCTGGGAATTGTAGTCCAAGAACATCTGGAGGCCCAAGGTTGGGGGGCACTGATCTAAAGCATTGCTGGCCCCCATCAGCAGCCTATGGATGAAACAGAGGGCGGCTATGGAGTAAGATTTTGGCAGTGTTTTGGTTCAGCAGGATAAATAGATTAAACTCTTTTTTTCCCCTGCAGAAGCAGATGCTGCTGAAGAGGCTGACATGCACGTTGCTGTAGTAATCCGGCCAGGGAATGCAGGACTGACAGATGA